GCGGGGGCGGCGGGGGGCGGCGAGGGGCGGCGAGGGGCGGCGGAGACGGGCGGCAGGCGGCAGCGGCACCCTTCGGGAGCTCCATTCATCTGCCGCGGCCGCGAGACGCCCTCCCGCCCGCTAACTAGCGGCAGACGACGACGGCGAACAGCGGCATAGGCGGTCGTGTGCCAGAGTCACGCCGCGCCACGCGTACCGCGAAGCCGATACCGGCCAAATCCAGTTGGAATGGGTGCACTCTGGTTTTTCGCGTCTCGCTCCCCCTTTCCCCGCCGACCTTCGTTCTCCCGCCCGCGCCCTTCCCCCTCCGCCTTCGGGGCCGTGTCGCCCCACCGATGCTGCCGGCAGCGCGCGCCAGGCCCAAAAGGGGGGGGGGGGACCCCCGCGGCGGCTGGCCGTGCTCGGGAAATCTGCCTCGGTTGAGGCAGGTCGCGGCGGCGGCGCGGACGCCCGCAGACCGCCCGCCCAATAGCTACTAACCGTGCTTCGTTCTCTTACAGGGCCCCATTTTCCCCTGTGTGTAGACAAGGGCAACGTGTTGGTGTTCGGCAAAACAAAACAAACCTCGGATAAACCCCTTCGAACTCAAAGATACTGTTCCGCAAAGCACGGATGCGGCACAGCCTACCCACACGGGGCCCCGAGGCGCCGTGGCGGTAGGCAACCGTCGCACACGCCTGCTTAGCGGCACAGCCTACCCACACGGGGCCCCTAGGCGCCGTGTCGGTAGGCAATCATCGCACATGCCTGCTGAGCGGTACAGCCTACCCACACGGGGCGCTGAGGTGTCTTGGCGAGACCTCAGTGAAAACGGGGATCTGGAAACTGTAGCAAACGCATTACGAGCGCACTACGCCTATTGCATGGAATTCTCCGAAAGCGAGCCCGGAGAAAACAATGACACATCGTTAAGTAAAGTATTATTAATTTCAGTTGTGTATGATGTATCATCTGCTAAAAAATGAGAGCGTGTGGGCTGGGGCTGGGGCCGGACTCGGGCACAAATAAGCCACACGCACACACTAAACCCCGAGGGGTCGTCAACTCCGATATTCCTTCGTACACGGACTGATATTACTCTAATATTACTCTAATATTACACATATTACTTGATATTCCACAATATTACCCGATATTCCACAATATTACCCGATATTCCACAATATTACCCGATATTCCACAATATTACCCGATATTACTTGATATTACTCGATATTACTTGATATTACTCGATAATACTTGATATTACTCGATATTACTTGATATTACTCGATATTACTTCACATCAATTGCACATGCCGAGCAACTTAGCGCACTTCAGAATTGTTTCTGGTGGTGCCGCGGAAGGGTCAAACACCTCTGTTAATATTTAGAAACTGTGCGTGGTGAATCGTAGGCCTACTACAGTCATAATGGCTTTTTAAAAAGACCGCCAGCCACGCCAGTTGCCGGAACCACCTGCGATACTGCACTAGT